ATCCTCTCTAAAAAACTCTCCATTATCAAAAAAATTATCTCTGTCATCTTGACGAAGTTTTTCTTGCGCTTAACTTTCGTTTATAAAACTTTTCCAATTTTACACTCAGTAACCAGAAAAAGCGCATTCATAGATCGAACAATCGAAAGCAACTTGAATGATTATTTGATAAAAAACTACTTTTTTGCCAATTCTACGAGTATCTTCGGAGAAAACTCCTACCTGAAAAAATAAATAAAGTTTGTTTTTGTATTTGTAAATGAAGTTCTCCGAGATTCATGTTCTAATCGGTTTTCTACCATTTATTAATAGGTGGAAGTTGACTCATATTTGCGTCGTTTTAGTTGGAAAGAAGGAAAGATTTTCTCTTCGTTCGAAGAATGATGCATATGAAAATGAATCCTTCATTGCATCATTAGAAATTTAACTCTTGAACAGTTCTAAAATAACATGAACATTTGACTGAAGACAAATCCCTCAAGCTTATTTATACGAGTGAACCATGGAAAGAAAAATATTCCAGAAAAAGCGACTGTTTTTGAATCTTTGAAATTAGGAGCATATATTTCTCGAGATGAATAAAATACGTCTTGACTCACTCTCCGCGCACTATTTATTTCGATCCAGGACAATAAAGTTTATGCGCAAGAAAAATATTTCTGCAGAAATATTGCTCTCACGAGTTTTTTTCGAGGGCATGATAAATTTCGCTTTCCAGGAAATTCAAAATTGGCTACAGCTAAAGTGCAGGAGATTGCAACGAACAGTATCAATGTGACAATATCTAATGCTAATTTTCATATATAGAGGCACGTTTTGTATTATAATATATGAGTGAATTGCAACTTTTTGGTACAATTAACGCGTAAGAATGAAAGAGAAGCTAAACAATTTTTGAGAAGTGCATTTTATTGTACTCTATGTCTGTAGTACGTAAGTAAAGTTTCCCAGCACTTTATCGATTATTAAGGGAGATATGGGCTGTACAAACTTGCGCTTTCTTCTACTTGTATTATTTGCTATCGATTAGAGTTGAATATAGGTTCGTGTGTATTTCAATAGGGATAAAAGTTAGAGGCGACCCAAAAATCATATTTTGATCCTTGTTTCAGCCTCGCGGAATATTGTCATGCCTTATCGTTTCTTCAGATTAGATCGTCAAAAACCCTTAACTTATGGTTTTCTATGAGAGCGTCAAGTTTTAGTATTTCTGATGGATTTCCTATCGATATTTATTTTATTTAAACACGTCACAATTATAAAAGGAGTTATAAAGAAATCTAAAATACATTTTAAAAAATTCATCTATGTTCTTATCACCAATTAAAAACTGCTTAATATATCACATAATCAACTTTCAAATAATGAAGTAAATATTTGTTGAATATTTTGAATAAGTTAAAAGTTTAGTTTTAAAAGCTTTTCTTTTTCATTTGACACTGTTTTGACATAAATTTTACTATCCTTAGTTACCAATATTTCGTGGAATGTTGCAGTACCCTTAACTGTTTTCAGCTTTGGAATAGTCTTCTTTAAATTTTCAATGTTTGTTGTATCATATAAATAGACCTTAATATCTGTGCTTGTTTTTGCACTATTGACGAGATCTGATGCTTTTTGAAACGAATTATCAGGATTGAACGCAATAATCTCATTAAATTTGCGTTTTATTGCAGCACCAATAGCATCGGCAACACCTTTTCCATGTCCTGATTCCAGAAAAATCCATTTAATATCAATATTATGACCAGTGGCAATTTTTTTCATTAAAAATACCGTTGTCTTGTTCCGATATTGAGAGACCGGAGAATCTTATATAAAATTGATAATGCTAGTATTATTTTCATTAATTAATTCATTTAATAAGTCTTGAATCGCAGTCCACGCTGCTTCTGCCATATGGCAGGTATCATCACTAATACTAGCAGAACTGAATGAATTATTGTACCGCCATACAAATCCTGATTGAATTGCAATACGTTGCTCATAATAATAAGCTTCTAAAAATGGAAAGAACATTAGACTTTCTTTTTATAAGGCATAGGTTGAGATAATCAGGTAGAAGGGTTGTTTATACCGAATAACTTTTTCTTCTCTTGCTTGTTTCAAGTCATAATTTTCACATCAATCTAATTGAATGTGTATTACTTGATCATCATGAATCGCTTGCTCTTTTGATGCTTTAGCAGCATGAAATTGTTCTCGCATTCGAAAAATATGTTCTTTGATAACATACTTATAAAAACAGATAATGATGAGTTTTTTTAAAGACTTTCAAGTAAAAAGAAAATCACTTACATCCATTTTTAATCTAAATTTCTTAACAAAATCTTTCATCGATAGTGACAATGGAACTTTAGTAGAAACTGGAGCTGAGCAATTCACGGTTGTTTTCTTTTGCCACTCGCAAAAAGTGAAAACAATACTTTCTTTCGTTAATATAGTTAAATTATCTTTAAATTCATTAATTTTAGTTGCATCTTTTGCTATATCGTATAAGTCAATAGGTGCAGAATCCGCTATAGATTTTATACACGAGTATTTATGTTTCAATTGATGAAGTTTTTCATATTTGAGTTGAAGATTAAGATAGGTCATGCATAAACATGTCCCCCAACTATCAGTTTTAGGTTTTTGAATGTAAGATGGCATATGTCGAGTGAATGTAACGTAGTCTATATCTGTATTACTTTCGAGTTCAAACTGTTAATGAAGAACATTCAAATGATTGAAAAGGTATCTTATTTGATTACCGTCGATTTGCTTGTCTTTGTCGGGACATATTTTTGTAATATCATCTTGGCATAAGAAAGTTTCAATAACAGTTTCAATTGATGATTGGAAAGTTGTTTTTGGCAAAAATTTGTTCCGATAAATTGATACCGAATTTGCTTCTGAATCGAATTGCTGTACCAGGTGGAAGGTTTTCAATGTTATCTTTAAGACGTAGTGTTGCGCGTTGTTTAGAACACCTTCTTTTGTTCTTAAATCGTATGAATTTGAACTGGATGTACTATGAGTTGATATATTTGAGTTTTGTTCTTCTTTCTTTTTTTGATGCAGCTTCGCTTGAGATGTTGCTTTATTTTTTCTATATTCTTTGTCAAATGGTTTAGATGTGATTCTTTTTCTTTTTATTCTTTCACGATATTTTTGAGTACGAAATTTAGAGATATCTCTCACTTTAAAAGCAATAAAATAGACAAGTTAAAAAGAAGAGAATTATTTTGTCATTATAGGTTCCAACCAGAAGTAATATGGTCGGAGAGAAAGTCCAAATGGTACTTCGTGGTTGTGAGGCTTATCATAAATTATTTTAGGAGACAGCAGCTGTCAACTAAGTGTTTAATAGCCGCAATCAAGTCCGTCATACCTGGACTGAATTTCAGAATGTTCTTTTCAGAAGTATATACACAATTTGATTCTACTAAATTTTGGACTACATTGGCTATACTCGTAAGCAGCAAATCGTTCATTACTATTCGCATAAAGGAAAAATACCAAAAACAAAGACACAATACATTTGACTTTCTTTAGCTTATGCTATTTATTGAGATTGCCCTTCAAAATAATAGTATTCAATAAATTCTACTGAAAATATCTACAAAATCGTCACTCTACATTTTTTAGTATCATGTAAATTTCTCCCAAATAGTAGCAAAGCAACGGCTGAAACTTTTACTGATAATAGAACTTTTTACTTTGCACTATCCCTTAAACTTTGAACCAGATTGAACGAACCGTTGAAGAGTTACAAACGAATCAAAATTGGAATCGTCATTCTGTAAAGTGAGTGAAGTCACCTTATTCTCAAAAAGTTTTGTTATTTTATCGAGAAAAAAATTCGATAACACAAAGTTTCTTACGCTCCTTTGGTGTCTTAACGAGTTGTCTTTCTTTCTGTATAATCTTCGAATCAAGAACTTTATCTATAGCAGAACTGCAAAGCATATTTCCGTCACTACAAAAAAAAAGAAAGTGTCTGTCAAATGATGTGTACATTGGACGAAGGAAAGAAAACATAAAATAAAAATCGGTGATATATTTTGATAGAGCATCGAACGCTGTACAGAACGACCTAGTTGTATGTTTTTCTCTTACTTTTCTTTGGACGAAAATTTCGTTTTTTTTTCTCACATGTCATTAAAAGCGAGCATTTTCTTGCCATATATTTCTCATAAGTTAGCGATAGTATGAGCTACAGACCTGAAATTTTCAGTGATAGTGAGGCATACGAAGAGCAATAACTTGCAAAAAGAATCATCTGAATCAGTTGAGCGAAACAGAAGTTATTAACGAAATACGGTTAAAACATCAATTGTACCCCAAAAGTTGCAATTTACTCATAG